AAATCCCGGGGCTTCGCAGGCACCGAGCAGCGGGGGATGCAGCCCCGGTCCTGCCAGGCTGTGGGGATGCTCTTTGCCTGGTGCCCTCCCCGGGAGGGAACCCCCGGGGAAGGTGGTGCCCGTAGTGCCCAAAGCCGGCCCCTGGGCATCCCCGGTGGGACGGCGGGATCGGGGCACTGCCAAACTGTTGTGCCAAGCACCGCCGCAGGTGTGAACGGGCCGGGGCCCTGCCGTGCCGCCCCTGGTCTGCGGTGAGGTTTGAGGTGTGCGCGGTGCCGGAGTTGCACAGGCAGTGCCAGGCTCGGCACTGCCCGGGCTGCTGCCGCTGGGAACGAGCAAACCACCAAAAGAATGGAGACGTGGGCAGGGGCTGGCAGCCCGGTGGGGTGCCCAGGGTGGGAGATAGGGGTCTGGGTTGGGGTGCCCAGGGGCCACCATCCCAAACGAGGAGGAAGGTCACTAGATCCCGCCTCTCCCCTCACCCCAGGTGGGATCCTCCAAAAAGCCATGAGGCTGCTGCTGGCACTGCCATCAGCCTCCCATGAGCTCATTTTCCACCCCAAAAGGACTTTCCCAGCCTGACTTTTACTTCTTTTATTGGGATTTTTCTACAGACTTCAGCCACAGGGCGGGGCGGAGGATTTGGAAGGGAGCGGGCTGGGCTGGGGCCACCAACACCCTTTGGTGGCAGCTCTGGGGTGGCTGGAGTAGGCAGGGGACTGGAGCTAGCAGCTTGGGGTGCTGGCCCCATCCCCATCTCTGTCCCCATCCTTGTCCTCTCCGCCAGGTCCCTGCGGGGCTGTCCCAGAGCCCGCTGCAGCCCGTGGCACTTGCAGCTAGCCCAGGATCCCTGGATCCCTGCCCCCAGGGGCCACAGTGGCAGCGCAGGACTCCGGGGCAGTGTGGGAAGCTGCATGGCCACCTGGCTGCAGCAGGGCTGCATGTTCTTCCAGGGTGAAAGCAGCCCTCCTGGGACAGGCCAGCGCCAAGCAGGGCCGTGCTTGGCTGAAGCAGGAGAGGGACAGTGTCCTCCAGTTCTGCAACACCCAGGGATGCTCCTGTGGGACAGGGTGCTCTGTCCCAGCAGCGCCTGGAATGTTTTTTCCCCATCACTGGCTGAAAGCAGGGGATAGCTGGGACTGGGCTGGCGCTGGCGCGAGGCCCAGATGTCTGGCACGCAGGGTGATGCTTTGTTTCATGCCTGTGTCTGGGAGCTGGATGGTGGGAAGGGTTTTGCTATGAGCTGAGGCATCTCCCGCATCCTGCTGAGGGCTCTGGAAAGGGCCCAGGAGGGGAGGCCGCCCTGGCTGGCGTGACTCAGTCCCCACGTGATGGGACTTTCTAGGTTTGCTGAAGACCTGGCACCTCTCCGTACCCTCCCGGCTGGGATGCCGGGCGCAGTGCCCGGCTCCGGGGCAGGAGAGGCCAGTGGGGTTGGCCCCACTCCCGCCTCCCCAGGGCCAAGGCACACAGCTCGGCAGGCTCCGGGCGCTTCGATTCAGCCTCGCTCAGCACTTCCAGGGATGTTATGAATTTCCCCATGCAGCTTGGCTCCGAGTCAAGCCGGCCGCGTCCGCACCGCCGGCAGCTGCCAGCTCCTGCTGCGGGAGATGTCTTAAAGGCGCCGTAGCCTGTCCCGGCAGGGATGCCGCCGGATGGCTGCCGTGGCCCCCCCCATGGCACCCTGCAGCTGGAGCGGGGGCGGCAGTGGGGCCAAACTCACCAACTTGGCATTGAAGCTGTTTGCACCACTGGTGCTGGTGCTCCTGGGAAAGCCTGCTGCTCTCCATAGGTGCGGAGAAGCCCCCTCCGGCACCCCTGGTGCCAGAGTGTCCCAAAAAGGGGGTTCTCCTTTGGGGTGGAACAACAGAGCCCTGGGGATGCCGGTGCCTTGCGCCCGGTGCTGGTGCTGCCGCCTGCCTGGCTCACTGCCCCGAGCTGCCCCAATATGGGAACCGCGGGCTGCAGCTGAGTTTGGGGCTGCCAGCCAAGGCAAATGCTTCGGCAGGCCCCCAGGCCGGCCCAA